CTGGTCCCGCGTCTGAGCCCAGGGCTGGAGCCTCGCAGCGCGGCCCGGGCGGGGTGGCACCCACGCGGGCGGTCAGGAAACCCGCGGCGGGGCCAGGGCTCCACACCGTCATGGCTGCGGGAGAGCCGTCACCAGTGGCGCAGAAGGCCCCTGAGAGCCAGGAGCCGGAGCCCGCAGGCTGCCAGCTGGTCGATGGAACTGTGGCCCAGGGCCCAGAAGGGCTAAGTCCGTCCCATGTAGACCCAGACCCGCGTCTTCCCGAGAGGACGGCGCCTCCGTGCCCCGCGTGGGCTCAACACGCAGAGTGGACCTTAATCCAATATGACTGGTATTCTTACAAGAGGAAGAGATTTGGACACACAGAGAAACCTGGAGATGACCATGTGAGGACACAGTGAGAAAACAGCCATTTGCAGTCCAAGGAGAGAGGCCTCAGAAACCAGCACCTCGATCCTGGACTTCTAGCCTCCAGAATTATGAGGAAATAAATATCAGCCTGTGGTATTTTATTATGGCAGCCCTAGCAAACATGATACAATTGTACTTCAGGAAACCTCACAAACAAAATCAAAAGATACAGTAACCTAGGAAAACGTTGGTTAACATGTAAGATAGACAGAGAAGGGCCTAGTCAATTATGCTCCACTAATAGTGAGCATATCAAGCACCCAGATCTTGGTCTTAAATACCATCTTCCAATAAAAGAAACCGCGGCCTCTTGGAGAAATAGCTGATTCTAAGAGTGAGGCAGGAAGTACACAGTCGGAGCCTGGTACATCATGTAGTGCCAGAAAGTAACAAATTGCTTAAAAAACAAAGCAAAACAAAAACAACCCTCACAATTATAGAGCTGTGTCAGAGGGGCATAGGAACCAGCTAAAAATCTCACAATGTTCAAAGCTTTGAGCAACAAAATAAAGTATTACTGGAATAGAAACCAAGTGTAGAATAAACACATGAGTTCATAGTGATACAAAGAAATCATTGAATAAATAAACACAAGGGGAGTATAGACAAATCTCCAGTGCAGAAGAATTCCAAATAATTATATAGATACTGCACCCTCAAGGTGGAGCATAGCTCCCCACTGAAGTGTGGCCTGTGCATAGTGGCTTCCTTCTGAAGAGTACAGCATGGAAGAGGGGAGGGGGAGTAGCTCTGCTGTGGCAAATCCAACAAGCACTACCTCAGCCTGGTGGTCAAGGTCAACACCAAGAGGGTTAAGTCATGTTAGCATGTGTCCTTGATATACTACAGCGAAGCAGTGCTTGGCCTCTGTGCTCCTCTGTGGTCTTCCTCCCCAAGACCCATACCTCAGATTAATCACGAGGAAAACACCAGACAAATTCCAGTAGAGGGGCCTCCTACAGTTAACTTGACCAATACTCCTTTAAGCTGTCAAAGGTCGTTTCCCAAGAAAACTCTGAAAAACTGTTACAGCCAAGAAGAGCTAAAGAAAAGGGGGATATATGTAATACTTACAACAAGAAACATTTTTTTTAAAAAAAGAATAGCTAAGGAGGCAAGAAACAGTTTAATATGCAATTCTCAGTGGGATCCCTGGACAGAAAAAAAGGATACTAGGTAAAAACTAAAGAAATCTGAGTAAAGTATGAACTTCAGTTAATAAATATTAATACTGGTTTTTAATTGTGACCATACTAATACAAGATGTTAATAATAGGGGAAACTTGGTGCAAGGTATATGGGAACTATGCTCTCTTCACAGCTTTTCTGTAAAACTTAAAACTATTTGAAAATAAATGATTCTTTTTAAAAATAGTCCAAAAACCACAAGTAGACAACAGGATATCACATACCCCAGGCATCAAAAAGCCAGTAAACACTTGGAAGAAATTCATACTCACTGGTGTTCAGAAATGCACATTAAAACATATATGAAATCATTATTTTATTTAGCTGGCAAACTTGTTTTGTGTGATAATTGGCAATGTGTAGGAATGAAAAGTAGAACTACCCCTCTGGAGGGCATTTTATTTTGGTAATAGGTTAAAGTGTGTGTATTTGAAGCAACAACATCACAATCAGGAAGTGAACATCAATATACACAGACGTGTTTCTCACAGTATTATGTGCAATAGCCAAAACCTGGAGATTTACCAAATGTGATCAATGTAGGATTATTTAAATAAACAATGGGAATCTCAATGTAGAATGTAATGATGAATAATACAGTAGAATATTTAAAGACAAAAAATTCCATGAGGTAACATGTGAAAATGCCTCTTGTAAACCATATATATTCTGTCATGCCATTTCTGTGTCTGTTCTTTCATTATGTGTATACTAGAGGCCCAGTGCATGGATTCATACACATTGAAAGGAAATTAATTAGAAGAAATATTTTAATATCACTATTCGCCCTTTCTCTATAATAGAAGTGTCAACCAATTCACGATCGACAACGACAGATCGAAACACACGCGTGTGATTGGAACCAGCAAGAGCTTAACCTTTTATAAATGTATACACACACACACACACACATAGAGAGAAAAAACTTGCTTAATTAGACCTGCCTTCTGATTTAGCTTTTCTAGCCCAGTGAAGCACCCCAACTTCTCTTTCAGGTAATTGTTAGCAACACAGCAATAAATATCAACACGGAGCAAATTATTATTGTAGATCACGATCATGCAGGGAGAACAAAGGATAAAATATTTAACTGCAGCAGTGTTTGACTATTCTGCGCAGTAGGAAAACCTGAAGTCATTTTCAAGTTCCACCATTTTGTCTTTTCAGTCATGTCAAATTTCTAAACTTTCTAAATCTCTGTTTTCCGGCTAATAAAAAGAAAATAGGATTCTACCGAGTCTCCTATCTACCTACTCCAGGACTTCTGTAAGGATCAGATGAGATGAGGCATGTGAAAATGTTTCTCAGACATTTGGTTAAAGTGTAAAATGTTTGTACCGGCTGTAAAACAAGTCGTGTTCGTGGGCTGAAGAAACTCCAAGGAGGCTAGTCACTAGGGAGAGGAAGCCGGGTGTTGCTATGTGACGTCGTTACCCGGCACCCACAGCGACCATTTCCCGGCCGGACTGGGCTGTGGGCCGCATTTTGCTCCATGGCGTCTTGGCAGCATTGGCTGCAATTTGGTAAGGTGTTGCTCTGGGGTGGTGGCAGAGCTTGTGTCCCACTTGGGTGAAGCTGTGTGTTGGTTTGTGGGCACCAGGTTCGTGGTCCTGGCCAGTGCGTGTCACGGCAGCTCCTGCGTTGAGCTTCTGCCCCCTGGTCATCAGTGTTCATCATAACAATTGGTCGGACAGTTGGAGGGACACAGCAGATTAGCCTTTTATATATATAGACTCGTGGCCCGGTGCACAAAATTCATGCATGGGGGAGGGGTTGTTCCTCAGCCTGGCCTGCACCCTCTCCAATCTGGGACCCCCTCAAAGGATGTCCTACTGCCGGTTTACAGGGATCGAGCCTAAACCGGCAGTCAGACATCCCTCTCGCAATCTGGGACTGCAGGCTCCTAACTGCTCACCTGCCTGCCTGCCTGCCTGATTGACCCTAACCATTCGGCCTGCTCTTCCCCAACTGCCCCCCGCCACTGGCCTGCTTGCCCCCAAATGCCCCCTCGCCAGCCTGATCACCCCCAACTGTCCCCCTTGCTGTCCCGATCACCTCCAACTGACTCCCACTGCCGGCCTGCTTGCCCCCAAATGCCCCCCTGCCAGCCTGATCACCCCCAACTGCCCCCTGTGCCAGTGTGCTTGCCCCCAACTGCCTCCCCTGCCAGCCTGCTCACCCCCAACTGCCCCCCCTGCTGGCCTGCTCGCCCCCACTTTCCCTCCCCACTGGCCTGCTCGCCCCCAACTGCTCCCCTACTGGCCTGCTTACTCCAAACTGCCCCCCTCGCTGTCCTGATCATCTCCAACTAACCCCCACTGCCGGCCTGCTCGCCCCCAACTGACCCCCTGCTGATCTGCTTACCCCCAGTGGCCCTGCCCCCCACCAGCCTGATCACCCACAGCTGCCCTCCCCTCTTGGCCTCTAACCGCCTCTACCTCGGCCCCGCCACCATGGCTTTGTCCAGAAGAATATCCGAAAGGTCTCCTGGAAGGTCTCCCAGTCTAATTAGCATATTACCCTTTTATTAGTATAGATATGTACACATCTCTTGGACCTGGGATTTGGTGAAATAATCTTAACAGAAGGCATTAAAATAAGTCCTGTTTGTGATTTAGTAATTTTATAAATGCTTAAAGAGAGTTATTTTAATGCATATCATAATAAATATATCAAGTATTGTTTCCAAGCACTGTCATTATAATTAGAAGTGAAGGATCGCTTTTTCATTGTCACAAATTGTGTGTATGTGTGTGTGTATGTGTGTGTTATTTTTAAAGTATACTACACATATAAAAGTAGGATTTTGCATACACTAAAGTTCTGTCTATGGTTATCTATGACTAGTAGGGTTGGGACAATGTTTTCTTTTTTCTTTCCGTTTTCTGCATTTTCCAAATGTTCTTCAAAGAACCACAGAATATTTTTTGTGATCAAAAATGTTTAGCCTTGGCCTGTGTGGCTTGTTTGGTTGTGCATCATCCCTGGCACCAAAAAGTTGCCGGTTTGGTTCCGTTAGGGCACATGCTCAGGTTTTGGGCTTGATGCCTGGTAGGGGGCATACAGGAGGCAGATGATCGATGTTTCTATCTCTCCCTTTCTTTCTAAAAATCAATAAAAGTATTCAAGAAAAGAAAGAAAAAGTGGTTTAAATGGCAATTTTAAAAAAATCTTTTTCCCATGAAACTGTATCTGGAAATATTAAAATCATTTTTTTTGTTGTTTCTTAAAAGTCCATATTTCTTTTGCATTTCTGAGTAATTTAGTTTATACACAAGTTTACTTTCATACACATTTACACTGTCATATGTTTTCCATGTACTTTCTACTTTTCTGTTAGTTAATATTTTCATGAGCTGTTGAAAGCATTATTTGATTAGTCTTCTCATACTTTTTACTTGTAGGTTGGTGTTTGGAATGCTGTATCCTGCATATTATTCATACAAAGCTGTGAAATCAAAAAATGTGAAGGAATATGTAAGTATAGTTTTATGAGTGATTAATTTTATTTTAATGTATCCATTACATACAAGACTAGAAAAACTCATTATTTTAGAAACAGCTGGCATAATGTTTGGGGTTAAAAATGTGATATAAATGTGGAGTACTGAAAATTAGTCTGTTTTTAAACTAATTTTCAGTAGAATTCTAAAGTAGGAAATAAAAAATAGTGCATTGTCAATTGACATTTAAATAAATCTAATTCCCAAATGAATAATTGCATGTCTCTTACTCACGTAGTTTGTAAGTTCCAGTATAAATAAGAGGTTGGGGGATTGTCTGGTTTTTTAGCCTTATAAATTTATAGGTATATTACTAGTATATTTCTTCAGCCTCAAAACCTTTTCCCTCTTTCATAGTTGTTCTGTTACTTTCTAATTGATTTAAAAATGCAGATACCTCATTATTACTGACAATTGTAATCAGCAGTTTGCTTGATATTTGTATGGACTTAACTATTCTGGATATTTTATATTAATGGAATCATATGTGACCTTTTTGTGTCTGGCTTCTTTCACTTAGCCTGTTTTCAAGATTCATCCATATTATAGCGTGCATGTATTAGTATTTTATTCCTTTTATGGCTGAATAATATTCCACAGTATGCATATACAACATTGTTTCTCCATTCATCCATTGATGGACATCTGGATTATTTTTACCTTTTGTCTGCTATGAATAGTGTCACTATTAAGCTCTTACATTTATATAATTCCCTACCAATTTCAAAATTAACACAGTCCTATGGTTCAGAAATCTGAAATGGATCAACAGGGCTACATTCCTCCTGGGGGCTCTAGTGTAAAATCTGTTTACTTACCTTTTCAAGCTTCTACAGGCTGCCCACATTCCTTGGCTTCAGGCTCTATTCCTCCATCTTCAAAGTGAGAAATGTTGGGCTGAGACCTCATGCTGTGATCTCTCTGGTTTTCTCTTCTGCCTCCCTCCTTCACTTATGAAGACTCTGGTGATTACAGTGGGCTCACCTGAGTAATCCAAGATCCTCTCTCCAACTCAAGGTCGCCTGATTAGCAACCTGAATTCTCCTTTACGTGTAACCTATCATATTCACACATTTCAGGGTGGGATGTGGACCTTTTGAAGGAGGGGGATATTATTCTTCAGACCACAATATCTCACTGGTCCTCACTACAACTCTATAAAGTAGGCAGGAAAATATTCCAATATTATAGGCTCAGAGCAGTGAATTAACTTGCTCAGGGTCACATGGATCATTAAAGAAGGAATGGATATCTTCTGTTTCTAATATTTTATTCTTTCTTTTCTACCATGCTACCTTTAGAAAATTAGGTGAGGATCTAGCTTCACAAAAAAAGTTGAAATAGCTTTCACAGCCAGCCAGTGAATGTGCTTCTGATGAATTCCACGGCAGGTCTTCAGGGGCCACAACTATATGGGTATTTTCTAAGAAGAGCAGTGAGGCAGCTTAACCAGTTTTAGAGCAGGACCCATAAGCAACTAAATGGAATATAATCAAAATGGTAGAAAATGAAATTGTAAGTCTTTGAAAGTTTTGTAAAGTCTTGGCAGTTCTTTAAGTATTTCTAACCTAAATTTATTTCTGACAAAAATTTTCTTGCTGAGTTTCTTCTAAACTTAGTTATCCAAAGTAACCTTCAATTACAACAGTTTTCCCAGCAGTCTGTTCTCAGAAAGTTTTCCTGTATGGTGATCCCCATCCAAATTTGCTTTGTCTGTTCGTTTTTTAGCAAAATTAACCTTCTTAAAATTTCCCTATTTTATTTTTAACAGCCTCTTATACTATCTGTTATTATGTTATGTATTTGGTTTTGTTTGTCTTCCCCACCATAGAGAGTTTTGTTAACTGCTATAGTTCCCTACCTAGAACAGTATATGGTAGGCACTCAATATTTTTTGAATGAATGAATAAATAAGAAAAGGAATAAGAGTTGACTTTTAAGTCTATATCAAACACTAAATTGTGTTTACAGGAGCATGTGTACTTCTTAAGTAGATTGGTCTAGTTTCTCAGCTTTGCTGCTAGGAGTATACAATCTAGTCCCACTTATCCCAAAGCCCACTTTCTTTGAGGTATTTGGTTATGAACCTAAATTCCACTGATATCTGCTTCAAAATTATTTTCAGAAAGCAACATTTTTTATTAATTTACTTTTTCCCACCGTAACTACTACCATTCCCTGTAAGCCTTCAAATAGTAGATTGCACCTGATAAAACAGATGGCCGTGTTCAAATCAAAACACATGGAAAGTGCTGTATATTTTGGCAACCTTCCTTTCTTCCTTTGCCTATTTTTAAAAGAGAGCTTTCCTAGGATATAATTTCCTGTATAGTGTGGCTGATATGGCCTACTTAAAGTCTTTCAGTCTTGCAGTAATTGAAATGTAAACTTACTGAAGAATTAGTATGGTTTGCAAATTTTTTCAAGCTTATACCATTTCATGACTTGAAAATAGTGTGTTTACTTCCAAGTGGTGTGTAATTGCTGTAGCTTTTCTAGGAAACCAGTGTTTTTATTCTAAGAATGTTGAAGAAAGTGGCAATGAAAAGATTGTCTAACAGCACATAAAAATCAAAATCAGACATTTGGTCCTGAGATTTACTGTGAGCAAGAACAAAGAACAGGGAAAACTCTGTAAGATTAGTCCTTTAAAGGGCTAGAAATGGCCCTCTAAAACTCTATTGACTTGGGTTTTGAAAGTGACCTAATTTTTGGCTGAGTATTTGAGTGATATGAAAATGAACAAACATACCACATACTGGTTCTTATCAATTATTAAAATCTGAAGTTGCTTACTAGATTTAGGGTGGAGAAAAAAACACTGAAGAACTTCTCTTTATTGTCAAAAAGTGTTCCTTAGGAATCTTTTCATATTTTGCATTAAAAATATTCATTCGGTTCAAGGATTGTAATAATGTAGGTAGTGTAAAGATTAACCCACTGATTAAAGTGGAATTTAAAATTTTTTTTTTTTTAAATTGGCTTTGTCAGGCCACATACTTATGTGTTTATTTTCCATTCTGATATTCTTGGTTTTTATTTTTATTAAGGTTGTATTTCTTTATAATTTTAAAATCAAAAATTTTTCAAGACTTACTATGAAAAACAGCAGTTTCCTACCCTCTCCTCATCTCCAGTGGCAACTACTTTCAACTCTTTTATCTGAATCCTTTAGTGTATGTATTTTCATATCTAATTAACATGCTTATACTTTTGCTATTTTTTAATTTTTCACATGCACATCATCGGTTGCCTTCCTTCTAATAAAGATGACTTAGTAGTTGCTACGTTCTGGTGGGGGCTCTAAGTATTCAATTTATAAACTTTTACTTAGTTCCTATTAGCCCTACTCTAAACTGTGCCAGAGATTTGCAAATCCAGAGAACCTTTGATTCACTCTTTACCAGAGACTAAGCCTCAGAATTGGGCTGCGGGAAAGAGGGGTACCATCAGACAGCTAAAATAGGAGGGCAGTTGTGCCACCAATTCTTGAGCCTTTTTTGGGAGTTTTGCAGTGAAAGTTAGGTTTGCAGTTTTTCCCACTGTTGGCTAATACTCAGTTTTCTCAGGCCTCCTAAATCACTTCTCATCCATTTCCTTCCTAGCTCCACAAATTTATGTTCTCTTCTCTTCTATATCCTTCTGAACTTGGGTCTTTTAAAAATATCCGTTTACTGTTGTTTTAATGAGATTTGTGGTGGGGATGCAATTAAATGTGTATATTCAGTCTACTGTCTTCATCCAGACTTCCAAATTGACCTTGTTAGTGGGATACTGTGGTTGAATTATTATGTGATACCAAGTAAGGCTTATTTTATCATTAACATTGATTTTAAATGTGTTCACATAAGAGATAGGTTTAGTCCTAACCAGTTTGGCTCAGCGGATGGAGCGTCGGCCTGTGGACTCAAGGCTCCCAGGTTCGATTCCTTTCAAGGGCATGTACCTTGGTTGTGGGCACATCCCCAGCGGGGAGTGTGCAGGAGGCAGCTGATCGATGTTTCTCTCACATCGATGTTTCTAACTCTCTATCCCTCTCCCTTCCTCTCTGTAAAAAATCAATAAAAAATATTTAAAAAAAGAGATAGGTTTAATGGTAATTTACATCATTTTTAAATCTTTGACAATAATTTCAAATTTTAATTTTAGCTGACAAACAATGAATACATGCGTATCTTGTCTTGAGTTATAGTTGTTTATAAATCAGGTTTTGATAAAATCACAATTTTCACTTTGAACAGTAAATGAAATTACTTGGAACAGTTCATTATCCTTTAATGAAGTAAATGTACTTATATTTACCTAAAGTAGTGATGAGTATTCTTTGTAAGCTTAATTTTTGATGTGTCAGATTTACCTATTTTATATGTAATACATATCCATATGTAACTTAGCTGCTGAAATAATTGATAGTGTTATTATCAAGTGAGATACTCTACCTTATGTTTTCTAAACACACTTTCTTCATGGACATCGCAGGATCATTAGTCACATTGGATCCGTTTTAGAAAACCAGTGGTAAGCTTGAGTAAGGTTGTCGAATTGGGGAGCTTTAAATGAATGCCCAGCACAGTTTCTTCTAAAATTGTGGCATGTGAATTAGCGTACCCCTTCACCTTTATGAAATAAACGGAAAGCATCCTCACAACTTTCATGCCAAGATGCAGCTGAACAACCGCAGCTGTCTTGTCCTTTTCTAGCTTCCAGGGCAAGTACCTTGGAAAACAGACATAAAGGAAAAAACAATTCTCACGGTAACATTTAAACCTATGAGGCTAAGTCAGGCATTTGCTAATATCTAGGAAAAATTTTACCAACTATCGTGCCAATGGAAATAGATTTTTTAAAAACAGGGACAGAAACCGTTGTTTCCATGAAAGGAAATGTTGTTAAGTAATAAATTGGAGGGAGGCCTAGCCACCTCCACCCTAATCCCTAGTGATGGAACAGCTTAAAATCATAAAAGCTACAGCA